AGCAAGGGAGTTACCCTCCTTGGACCATAGCGTAGGAGCCTGTTCTTTTTAGCAAGACATTAGATTTTCCTTTTTTTTCTCTGGCACACTGAGTTGTTTTCAGCATTAACCCCTTTACTCCCCACTAGGGTTGGGAATGTGCCCCTTTGGAATGTCTTATTGGAGGAGTAGTGTACCCCTTGTTCTATGATAGGGTAGAATGAAGCATTATTTTCTTTTAGCTGCTGTATACCATTTCCTATTACTCCTGACTTAACTAGCTTTATGAAAGTGGGAATGGTGCCCAGGGAGAACACCCTGCAGAGACGTTTGAGGTACTGCTTTCCATTCTAGGTGGTACCACCCCCCACACAGGGGCCCAGACAAACTGGGATGTTTTCACAGGAGGGCAGCCAGAGTTGAGAGAGAATTGTAACCACACTATACAACAAACTGCTGACGGATGGAATGTAGTCACCACTCACTTTTCTTTGGTCAAATCATTAACTTCTCTGTGCCTCAGTTTCCTCACCAGTGAGCTGGACTTTCAGAGTATTAACCTCCAAGGGTTGTCACGAGAATTAAATGAGTTAATTCACACAAGCACTTAGAACTGGTAAGGGTTCAGCAGTGGTAGTGATCATATTTTGTTCCTGGGGCTGGAGCTCAAAGGAAGTCTCCCCAATGTTCAGTTTGCAGCAGCCATAGGCCACTCCTGGTCTGTGAGAGCTCACTTTCTGATTTGTAGGCATTTTTAAAGACATAGACATTATTATAAACAACCTTAGTTACTGGTAATTCTTGTAAGAGACATGAAGAAAACTTGAGCCTCTTATGCTATAAATAAGAGATATGCTGATATGCATTTCCCTGGGTGAATCTGTCTGCTTTTGGAATTCTTTGCCTTGTGCTGATACTTTTTTTACATTGTCTTCTGGACATGCATTGGGCCTCATGAGATGTGTAATCTCTTTATTGAGAAAGATGATATGACTCTTCCAGTGAAAATGGTGGTGTAGACAGTCATGGCTCACCTCTTCACACAACCACATCAAAATTAAAACTAAAATGTAGAACAGTCATCACTCAGAACCATCAGAAATTGAGTTGAATGGAAGCCTGACAACTATGGACTTAAAGAATCCACATCCATCCAGGCTGGAGAAGTGGAATGGGCTGGTCCCACACCCACGTGTGGTGGATAAAATTCAGGAGGGATATCTCAGGAGCAAGGAGTTTCAATCCCACACCAGACCCCCCAGCCCAGGCTTCCAGTGCCAGGGAGATAAGTCACTACAAATTTTGGCTGCAAAAACCAGGGGGGATTGAGTTGGTGGAAGAAAATTCTGAAGACCAGAGCAGTTCCTCTTAAAGAACCCATGCATGGACTCACCTACTCAGACTCCCTCCCTCTGAGCTCCAGCACCAGGGCAGCAGCTCGAAAGGCACCAGTGGCATACAGGGAGGAACTGAAGTGTCTGGCATCAAGGTGAGCGGGGGCCATTGTTCCTTTTCTAAACCCTCCCCCCACAGAGCCACAGAGCTGGCAAGCTGGTACCATATTTGAGACTCCATCAACCTGGCTAATACTGTTTGATCCACCTTGGAGATCCCCAGAGATACCACCCCACCCAACTTATGGACCCACACAAGCTGCTTTTCCATATGAATGGCTGATCTTGCCTTATGCTTCACAACTTCTTAAATCCTCTCAAACAAGTAGTAGCAGCTGGCTTCAGTGGGCCCCATGCCCAGTACTAGCAGCAGCCAGCCTAGATTCACAGTTTGGCTTTGCCTGGGAATCTCCAAGCCCAGCACAAGTAGTAGCCATCTCAGATTGCTTTATAGCTCAGGAAGGATGGCCACAGGCAAAACACATGTGGGAGCTGAACTTGGGCTGATTTTGGCCTGCATTACTCAGGAAACCCCAGGACCTGTGCACCCAGTGGACAGCTATAGATCATGTAGAGCACCACCACCCTGAACCTGCACAGCTGATCCTCCACAGATGGCGGAGGTTGGTGGTAAGTGATCACAGCCAATCCTTGCAGCTGATTGACCTGGGTAAATCCCTCCCATTAATCTGCCAACAGCAACCAAGGCTCAACTACAAGAGGAGGGTGTACTCAGTCCACTCGAAGGGCATATCTTGAGTACCCAGCTTGGGTGATGGGGGAAGCTATTCTACTGGACCCTTTAAGACACCTACTATTTAGGCCACACTACCAACACATGGAGTCAAAGCAGCTCTACCTAATACATAGAACCAAACACAGGGAGGCTGCCAAAATGAGGAGACAAAGAAACATGGCCCAAATGAAAGAACAGATCAAAACTCCAGAAAAAGAGGTAAACGATATAGAGATAAGCAATCTATCAGTTGCAGAGTTCAAAACACTGGTTATAAAGATGCTCAGGGAACTTAATGAGGACCTTAAAAACATAAAAAAGATCCAGTCAGAAACAAAGGATACCCTAATTGAAATGAACAATTTACAGAGAACAATAGAGTAGATGAAGCCAAGAATCAAATCAATGATTTGGAATATAAGGAAGCCAAAAACAACCAATCAGAACAAGATAAAAAAGAATCCAAAAAATGAGGATAGTATAAGCAGCCTCTGGGACTACTTCCAGAGGTCCAACATTCACATCTTAGGGATACCAAAAGGAGGAGAGAAAGAGCAAGAAATTGGAAATCTATTTGAAAAAATAATGAAAGAAAATTTCCCTAATTTGATGAAGGAAATACACATGCAAGTCCAGGAATCACAGAATCCCAATTATGATGGATGCAAAGAGGCCCACTCCAAGGTACATCATAATTAAAATGTGAAAGGTTAAAGATAAAGAGAAAATCTTAAAAGCAACAAGAGAAAAGAAGTTAGTTACCTACAGGGGAGTTCTCATAAGACTGTTGGCTGATTTCTCAAAAGAAACTTTGCAGGCTACAAGGGACTGGTAACAAATAATCGAAGTGATGAAAAGCAGGGACATACAGCCAAGATTCCTTTACACAGCAAAGCTATCACTTAGAATCAAAGGGCAGATAAAGAGCTTCCCAAAAAGAAAAAACTAAAGGAGTTCTTCATTACTAAACCATTATTATATGAAATGTTAAAGGGACTCATTTAAAAAAAAAGAAGAAGATCAAAACTGTGAACAGTAAAATGGCAAAAAAAAATACATATCTATCAACAATTGAAACTAAAAAATAAGCTAAGCAAACAAGAAGAACAGAGACAGAATCATGGATATGGAGAGTGTTTTGATGGTTGCTAGATGGGAGAAAAGTATGGGGGAATGGATGAAGAGGTGAGGGGGATTAAGAAGTACAAATAGGTAGTTACAGAATAGCCATGGGGATGTAAACTACAATATAGGAAATGGCGCAGCCAAATAACTTATATGAATGGCCCATGGACATGAACAATGGTGGAGGGGATTGCCTGAGGGAATGGGAAGTGCTGGGTGAAAGGGGCAAAGGGAAAAAAATCAGGACAACTGTAATAGCACAACCAATAAAATATAATAATAATAAAAAAAGAAGAATGATCTGTCTATTGTCAGCCCTGTAGTACAGAGAAAAATATGCCATGTCCACCCAGGCACGGCTGACCAGCCACACCTTGGCAGTACCCCAGTCTAAATAAGAACAGCTTTTGTCTTTTTTTATTCTGCAGTTGCTCCAACACAGGCCATTCACTGTAGCTGTCTGTACTTGAGCATCTACAAAGCAGCATCTGCAAGTCATTGATGTGAGGGTCACCAGACTTTGCCACCTGTTGTCTTTCTGGATCTTGTATTGATCCATTAACTGTGTGTTAAGCAAACAAATTCAGGGTGAATGTTTGAATAGGCCATTTCCCAAAGAAATCTAAAGCAATAAATCAGCCAGTGTTTTTTTTTTAACCTTATTACTTAGATGCTGCTGAGTATCTTAAATGTGCTTTAGAAAAGGGACTGTTCAAATGGTGCTTTGGTGAAGTAAGGGAAAAAGCAGAAATAAATGAAAGGTATAGTAGCAGCTTTTTTAACACCACATTCAAATATAATGTACTTCCAGTATTAATTATGCCATTTCCCCTAGACATTGCACACCCTTTTGGAAACCTCTCTGAAGTAACATTTGCCATGTCTAAGGTTATTTGATCCTAAGAAAGAATCTGGATAGGGCCCACGGGGGGCCTGGTTCTTTAGAAGCAGCAAGTGAATTAGAAATTCAAGTGTATACTCATAGTGACACAAGAGGGACATCTCTTTAGCTTTTCATTTTCCATTTGTTTCCTTATGGAAGCAAAGCCAACAAGGATGAGTTTCATAATTCCCAAACTACTAATAGCTATTTCTCTTCTCCTTAGGCTCCTTAAAATCCTGACTCCGAGAAAAAGTTTTCTTTTATGAATGGAATTTGAGAGTATTTTCAGATTAACTTTTATAACCTCTAAACTCATCTTCCCTAGCTTTCTTTCTTTCCCAAGGAAGGGCCAGGGCTTTCAGAAGGGACTAGAGAGAAAATCCTTAAAATCCTCTAAAGGGTTCCTAAGGGTCTGACCTTGGCCCAGGTCATATGCGGTCATATGCTACAGGCGGAGACTGGAAGCAGACTGGGGAATACACTTTGACCTTGGAACACTTGATCTTACAGTCCCCCATCTTGGCCTTGTTGTGGTGATAAGTCAGGTGTTCAGACCAAAGGTGACGTGGCCATGAGTCAAACTCCAGGATGTTCTGTGTGGGGACTCCTTATGTCTGCCCACTCTGTACCTATCTCCATGTGGCTGGTGAGAATGTGACTATTTTGTCTTTTGTACTTGCCATTGGTCATGGCCACCAAAGGTAGCCCACAAAGCTTACTCTCCAACTTGAAAGCTGAATTGTGTGTTCTAAAGGTTATATTTTTGAAGGAAACTTTTTCCATGCATAATGCTGGAATGTATCTTGCCCCTTGTTCCTTTGCCATTACATGTGTCGTGTACTCCCAATCTCTGACATATTTCTTTGTTTTCTGTGTGTTGCAGGCAGCATAGTCTACCTCGGGATGATGGTGGGGGCGTTCTTCTGGGGAGGACTGGCTGACAAAGTGGGAAGGAAGCAGTCTCTTCTGATTTGCATGTCTGTCAACGGATTCTTTGCCTTCCTTTCTTCATTTGTCCAAGGTTATGGCTTCTTCCTCTTCTGTCGCTTGCTTTCTGGATTCGGGTAAGGTTTTCTCCTTCATATTTTATAGTAATGTATTTATTCTTAATAATTGTACATGTTCTCCACTCTAAAGGACCTCATTACCAAGAAATTATCCCTTAACATATCCCCTTCCCTGCCTTTGTGTCAGCCTATGGGGCCATACTGCCAGCTCTTAGAAATATAATTATCAGCCTTTAAATCCAGAAGAGAAAGGAACACACGTCTGTGTTCTTGAGGCTGATTCGGTTAGTGTTTTACTTCTAGGAAATAGGTATTGTTTTAACTGGAAAGCTGTTTCTATGGCAGAGCACATTCATAAATGTATTTTTCTTCTGAAAATTTAATTTAAGCAAGAAATAGCTCTGGTCCTACATTATGAACTAATTAAAGGTTTGGACCACTCAGGTGTTCTCTTAAATCCAGGATGAGAGTGTCTCCAGTAAAGGTTATTTTATTGATCTACATTAACAGCATATTTAACTAGGTAGAAAGCCTGTTTTTGACTTTTGTTGAATTAACAGAAGTTGTACTGTTAGCCAAGTGCAATGGCATAGCATAGCCAATGATGTAGACATTTTCTTTAAAGAGCTTGAAACACTCATTACTACTAAGTCAACTCACACCTTAGGAAAACCTAGTACTGAATTAGAAGAGTCCAAGAAACTGCTTTGATAAGGAAAAAAAATAGAAAAAAACTTCCTGATTTGTTCTTGAGAACTTTATTTTCATTACAGACATTCTTTCTCTGGGGTGACATAAGATAAATCCATAGGAATCGTATAAAAATAAATAAATGAAGAAAGGGAAGGATACAGTGCTGGGTTATGAACTTGAAAAGCCTGTCAGTTGTGGTTGTTGATGATGGAGGTACCCACACAGGAAAACACAGTTTTGCCAAAAGAGAAGGTCAGAGAACTACAAGATGTTTTTTGTTTATTTTTAATTTTTTAGACAGAGGGGAAGGGAAGTAGAAAGAAAGAGAGAGAAACATCAGTGAGTAGTTGCCGCTTGTGGGCCATCTACTGGGGCTCTGGCTCAGAACCCAGGCATGTGCCCTGACTGGGAATTGAACAGGCAACCCTTTGGTTTGCAGGCTGGCACTCAGTCCACTGAGCCACACCAGCCAGGGTCTTTTTTAATCTTCTTGTACCCCCTCATATGCTACATTCTGCATATAATGGGCAAATATGAGACTACATTGTACAAATTGCAGGATATTTCCTCAGAATACATACATTCCAGTAAACCTAGAGGGTTGGAATGTTTGGGAAAGTATAAAAATATTATTTCATTAGGAAAAAAGTATCAGAATCACTAAATTGCTTTACGATGATTGAGGAGGAGCGCTTTTCCTCACTAGAGGGGCCCTTTGATGCTCAGAGCACTGTGTGAGATTGGCTTACACACACTACTGACTTGGGGAGGTCATTTGCCTCATGGATTCAAGGGCTACAGCACACCTAATTCTCAGAGAATTGGGATAACTGAGGAAGAACAGGTATTATTGGGGGCTCTTTGTTAAAGGCCCTTCTCCATGTCCATAGGATGAGACATTCTTTTTTACCAGGAAAAAACAAGGTTTCCTTCCACTTTCTATTACCTACATAATACCATTAGCCTGTCAGGAGAAGGCTAATAGCCTAAAGTCTGAAGTTTCCAGGCCTTTCCATTTGCAATCTTTTCCAGGAAATCTCAACCATATCCACTGACTCAAAAGTACCTGACTGTGGTCAAATTATTATGGTGATTTTAAGTACCAGTCTGCATTGTGATATGGTCAACCCAGTTGACTGCAGAGAAAAGGGCTATTATGGTGGTTGCAAAACACTCAAAACTAATGGACTGTCCAGACACTAATTCAAGGACAGCACAGAAGCAGAGCCTGCTTGGGTATATTCATGACGTCATCTTATTCCCTGTTGCAGACAAATTATTCTTCAGCTAGCAGCTCAGAGCTGCTGACCTCTTAATAACATAATTTACCTGGCAAAGCACAGACTGTGTATTGCTAACTCAGCTAGGCTCTCTAAATTGTAATACTGGAGGCAAACGCACTGTGCCTTTGGGAAATTGGCAAGGACTGAAAGTCCAGAAATCCAAGTCCATCTACCCCTGCCCTTCACTGTGGGACCTTGGGAAAGTCTCTCAGCTTTTCCAGTCTGGTACATCTTTTGAAAAGGGAGATAATAATACTTTCCATTCCTACCTGGGAATGTGAGAATCAAATGATATAAGGTATTAAAAGTACTTGGTAGAGGAGGAGAGGTAGGATAAGGATTAGGAGCACTCCCCTTTGGTGTGGCACTTCCTGCTCCCTTTGTTCTTTGTCGCATTCCTTCAGCTAAGCTGCCTGTACTCATTGTCTCAGAGTGACAGCAGAGGGAGAGGGAAAAAGAAGCATCTCTTTGGCTTTGAAATTTTAAGTCTTACCTGTGAGGGAAGCTGAAAGGATGAACCAAAGGCAAAAGACTTGGGAGAGACTAGAGCGAGTGACAGGGAGCCTCCCTGCTTCCCAGAAGAGATGGAGATTCCCTAGGCTGGGGGCAGGGCTAAGAGGAGCCACATGAGCTTACTCACCTGGGCCCAGGTGGCAAAACACCCAGAGTTTTGTGAGCTCTAGCAGCTGAGGGTACCTGAGAAATGATGTTAAGGAAAATGAAGAAAATTATTGTTTTTCCTCAGCTGAGTTGATGGGTCATGTTACCTACATGTAACATATGAAGTGCCACCTCTATGACAGAGGCTTTTTTATAAGTCTTTTTTATTAAAGTATAGTTGATATACAATAGTCTGTTAGCTATCATGTGTATTAGTTTCAGGTGTACAATATAGTGATTTTGATACTTTTAGAGCTTACAATGTGATCACCCCACAAATTCTAAGTAATCATCTGTCACTGTGCAAATCTATCATCATATTATTGAGTATAGTCTCCTTCCTCTTTTCACCCATCCCACGACTTCTCCCTTCTTTTTTATTTTTTTTAATTTTTATTTTATTTATTTATTTTTAGAGAGGGAAGGGAGGGAGGGAGAGAGAGAGAGAGAGAGAGAGAGAGAGAGAGAGAAACATCAGTGTGCGGTTGCTGGGGGTTATGGCCTGCAACCCAGGAATGTACCCTGGCTGGGAATCGAACCTGGGACATTTTGGTTCTCAGCCCGCGCTCAATCCAATGAGCTATGCCAGCCAGGGCTGACTTCTCCCTTCTGATAATCATCATCCCTTTGGTCTCTATTTCTATGAATCTGGGTTTTTTTTCTTTGTTTGTTTGTTTCTCATTTTCTTTAGATTCTGCATATAAGTGAAACCACACGGTACTTGTCTTTCTCTGCCTTACTTATTTCACTTCACATAATACCCTCTAGATCAGGGGTATCCAACTGTTTGGCGTTTCTGGGCCACACTGGAAAAAGAGGAGTTGTCTTGGGCCACACATTAAATACATTGTGACATGTAATTACAAAAAAATCTCATAATGTTTTAAATAAATTTACGATTTTGTGTTGGGCCACATTCATAGCCATAGTGGGCTGCAGGTTGGATACCTGTGCTAGATCCTTTCATGTTGTCACAAATGACAAGTTTTCATTCTTTTTTGTATTGCTGCATGATATTCCAGTGTGTGTGTGTGTGTGTGTGTGTGTGTGTACATACACATATAGGTTTTTCTCAGCAGCTCTAGAGTTCATCTGGACACCTGTTTCTGAATTGTTGGGTGGTCTCAGCCAAATCTTTTCTCCAATTCCTCTTCAGTTCACCTCAGAAAAACACTCTGGCACCTGCCATAGCTTTGTAGTCCCAGCTCTGAAACAATGCTGGAACTTTCACAGATATGGATGAGCCCTAGCCCCAAGGTGCTTTCAGTCTGGTCACAGAGGGAAGACACACTGACAGATCTCTCATTCTCCACCTGCTAAGAACCAGTCCTTGCCTGAACAGAGAAAACAAGGGGCATGGGAAGAAAGAGAAAACAATGATAAAACTGTGCATGAAAGACCAATTTCCACATAAAGGCTCTTCTTATTTTATTTTTTTTTTAAAGATTTTATTTATTTTTAGAGAGGGAAGGGAGAGAGAGAGAGAGAAAGAAAGATCAATGTGCGGTTGCTGGGGGTTATGGCCTGCAACCCAGGAATGTACCCTGGCTGGGAATCGAACCTGGGACACTTTAGTTCCCAGCCCGCGCTCAATCCACTGAGCTACACCAGCCAGGGCTTGGCTCTTCTTATTTTTAAAAGCATATTATATGTAAACCCTTTTCATTTCCATCACATATGAACTCAGTGCATAAGCAGCTGAAGCATTGATGTGTTCCCTTTTTTATTTAAACTTACTTTACTAAAAGTTAAGCCAGTTACGGCTTTTTATCCTGGAGTCCTTAAATAAGAGATCTTGTTATATCTACTTTATTAAGCAGCTCCCTCCATTCACATCTGATTTGCTTTGTAAATTGAGGAAAACCAGGTGACCAAGCAAGCGAGGTTTTAGAATGCTGGGAATTTTTCTGTCATGGGCTTTTGGTGCGCAGATCCTGCCACGCTCTACACATTGCCCAGGAGCATCCCTCTTGCCATCCTTTCTGCTGCAAAGGCTTTTCTCCCAGATCCTCAGCACACATGACCTCAGGCCACCCTGGAACCAACCTCCCAGTGTCCTTCACCACAGAAAGACACTGGGAGTTCTGTTTAGTCTTCTTGGTAGCACTTACTGATAATCAAAATATTATATTCACTTTTTATGAGCTTGTTTCCCTCCTCTACCAGCATATGAATTCCAGAAGGGTAGGGAGTGATAAGACAAGTATGCTGTCTTTACTGCTCAATCGCCCAAGGTGGGCCTGGTTACTGTGAAGGGCGGAGTCAAAGTAGCAGCTGGAGTAGTCTGACTGCACAGACCTGTGTGGATGGTGCTCCTAGACATGAAACAGATAGATCTTACTTGATCTGTATACACAGAAGAGTTCTAGGTCAAGTGAACAAAAGTTTAACTTGAATCATAAAAACAGAGAGTCATGGCAG